AATTGATATTAAATTATTCTATGACAGCGTTACTATCGCCCTTCTTCTCTGGCAATACGCGCTTCTGTGTGTAAATGACCAAACGTTACGAAGAAGGATCGGAGAATGAATCTCATCTACAAATAAGGTAGGATAAGATGGGCAAACTTTTAAATCTACACCTAATGTGGTGTTTGTAATTTGTCGTTTCTGAGTTTGGTCTTAGTTGACATCTCTGCTGTTTACATTCAGGTCTAGTTGGGTTAAATAAAATGGTCTAAATTTATCGGGTCTGGTGTTTCTCTTTTTGAAAATTAACTTATGTGTGTCGGGTCCGGGTAAGAAGTGATTCGGGTCGGGTACAGATTTTAAGACCCCAGAAAACCTCTAGCTCAGATTCCCCAAGATAATTAACGTCTGCAATCAAAGGTCAGAGATCTGCATATGAACTCAAACATTTCTCATCAAACTTCCTTCACAAGTTGCCATTCACATTCATTTTGCAATCAACAGTCATGTTATAGCTTCAAGATACACACAATATATAAATTAAAACAGAAAACTAAAGATATAATTCCAAAAAGTTCTTCTAAAACCCTTCAGGATTACAAATCCCCCTAAAACCATGCAGCAGAACCCCTGACACATGGCATAAAGTATAAACCCCTCCACACACACACACACACACACACACACACACCGAAGTCTCTTTTCCTTCGAATAAATTCGCGAGTCCACCGTGACATTCAAAGTGACGTTGCTTACGTGCGCGTCTCCTGTTCTCCTGCCCTCTGCAAACTGGATTAAAGCTGCATCTCCTTGTGCTGTTTGTTGAGGTTATTCTTTCCCTTCATGATGTGAAATACTTTATAGCTCAAACTGCTGGATCTCATCCGACCGCACGCCTCAGCTGTGCACAAAGGCACAGCGCTTTATTATTATTTATGAGGTGGAAAATTGTCAAGTGCTTTAGAATGACCTTCATTTAGTTAGAGACCATAAACCTTGACCGTCTTATCACGAGGAATATTCCCATCACAGTACCACAACAGATCACAAAAACTATAGCTTATGGATACATGTCATATCTTATGTGCAGTCTAGAGATGATCACATGACATTCAAGATTCGCAGAAAACAAGTCTTGTTGGATTAGATGTTTTTGCTTTGAAATCCTCCAGCTGCCCTGCTGAAGAGCCAAGCATAAACCAGCATGAAGTCCTGTGTATGCCGGTCTGAGCTCGTACAGTGCCGGTCTGAGCTCGTACAGTGCCGGTCTGAGCTCGTTCAGTGCCGGTCTGAGCTCGTACAGTGCCGGTCTGAGCTCGTACAGTGCCGGTCTGAGCTCGTACAGTGCCGGTCTGAGCTCGTACAGTGCCGGTCTGAGCTCGTACAGTGCCGGTCTGAGCTCGTACAGTGCCGGTCTGAGCTCGTACAGTGCCGGTCTGAGCTCGTACAGTGCAGGTCTGAGCTCGTACAGTGCCGGTCTGAGCTCGTTCAGTGCAGGTCTGAGCTCGTACAGTGCAGGTCTGAGCTCGTACAGTGCCGGTCTGAGCTCGTTCAGTGCAGGTCTGAGCTCGTACAGTGCCGGTCTGAGCTCGTTCAGTGCAGGTCTGAGCTCGTTCAGTGCAGGTCTGAGCTCGTACAGTGCCGGTCTGAGCTCGTACAGTGCCGGTCTGAGCTCGTACAGTGCCGGTCTGAGCTCGTACAGTGCCGGTCTGAGCTCGTACAGTGCCGGTCTGAGCTCGTACAGTGCCGGTCTGAGCTCGTACAGTGCCGGTCTGAGCTCGTACAGTGCAGGTCTGAGCTCGTACAGTGCCGGTCTGAGCTCGTTCAGTGCAGGTCTGAGCTCGTACAGTGCAGGTCTGAGCTCGTACAGTGCCGGTCTGAGCTCGTTCAGTGCAGGTCTGAGCTCGTACAGTGCCGGTCTGAGCTCGTTCAGTGCAGGTCTGAGCTCGTTCAGTGCAGGTCTGAGCTCGTACAGTGCCGGTCTGAGCTCGTACAGTGCCGGTCTGAGCTCGTACAGTGCCGGTCTGAGCTCGTTCAGTGCAGGTCTGAGCTCGTACAGTGCCGGTCTGAGCTCGTTCAGTGCAGGTCTGAGCTCGTACAGTGCCGGTCTGAGCTCGTTCAGTGCAGGTCTGAGCTCGTACAGTGCCGGTCTGAGCTCGTTCAGTGCAGGTCTGAGCTCGTACACTGCCGGTCTGAGCTCGTACAGTGCAGGTCTGAGCTCGTACACTGCCGGTCTGAGCTCGTACAGTGCCGGTCTGAGCTCGAACAGTGCCGGTCTGAGGTCGTACAGTGCCGGTCTGAGCTCGTACAGTGCCGGTCTGAGCTCGTACAGTGCCGGTCTGAGCTCGTACAGTGCCGGTCTGAGCTCGTACAGTGCCGGTCTGAGCTCGTTCAGTGCAGGTCTGAGCTCTTACAATGCCGGTCTGAGCTCTTACAATGCCGGTCTGAGCTCGTACAGTGCCGGTCTGAGCTCGTACAGTGCCGGTCTGAGCTCGTACAGTGCCGGTCTGAGCTCGTACAGTGCCGGTCTGAGCTCGTTCAGTGCAGGTCTGAGCTCGTACAATGCCGGTCTGAGCTCGTACAGTGTCGGTCTGAGCTCGTACAGTGCCGGTCTGAGCTCGTTCAGTGCAGGTCTGAGCTCGTACAATGCCGGTCTGAGCTCGTACAGTGCCGGTCTGAGCTCGTACAGTGCCGGTCTGAGCTCGTACAGTGCCGGTCTGAGCTCGTACAGTGCCGGTCTGAGCTCGTACAGTGCCGGTCTGAGCTCGTACAGTGCCGGTCTGAGCTCGTACAGTGCCGGTCTGAGCTCGTTCAGTGAAGGTCTGAGCTCGTACAATGCCGGTCTGAGCTCGTACAGTGCCGGTCTGAGCTCGTACAGTGCCGGTCTGAGCTCGTTCAGTGCAGGTCTGAGCTCGTACAGTGCCGGTCTGAGCTCGTTCAGTGCAGGTCTGAGCTCGTACACTGCCGGTCTGAGCTCGTACAGTGCCGGTCTGAGCTCGTACAGTGCCGGTCTGAGGTCGTACAGTGCCGGTCTGAGCTCGTACAGTGCCGGTCTGAGCTCGTACAGTGCCGGTCTGAGCTCGTACAGTGCCGGTCTGAGCTCGTTCAGTGCAGGTCTGAGCTCGTACAGTGCCGGTCTGAGCTCGTACAGTGTCGGTCTGAGCTCGTACAGTGCCGGTCTGAGCTCGTACAGTGCCGGTCTGAGCTCGTACAGTGCCGGTCTGAGCTCGTACAGTGCCGGTCTGAGCTCGTACAGTGCCGGTCTGAGCTCGTACAGTGCCGGTCTGAGCTCGTTCAGTGCAGGTCTGAGCTCGTACAATGCCGGTCTGAGCTCGTACAGTGCCGGTCTGAGCTCGTACAGTGCCGGTCTGAGCTCGTACAGTGCCGGTCTGAGCTCGTACAGTGCCGGTCTGAGCTCGTACAGTGCCGGTCTGAGCTCGTACAGTGCCGGTCTGAGCTCGTACAGTGCCGGTCTGAGCTCGTACAGTGCCGGTCTGAGCTCGTACAGTGCCGGTCTGAGCTCGTACAGTGCCGGTCTGAGCTCGTACAGTGCCGGTCTGAGCTCGTACAGTGCCGGTCTGAGCTCGTTCAGTGCAGGTCTGAGCTCGTACAATGCCGGTCTGAGCTCGTACAGTGCCGGTCTGAGCTCGTACAGTGCCGGTCTGAGCTCGTACAGTGCCGGTCTGAGCTCGTACTCAGACTCAGAGCTCGTACTCAGAGCTCGTACAGTGCTCGTACATGCCGGTCAGAGCTCGTACTCAGAGCTCGTACAGTGCTCGTACATGCCGGTCTGAGTTCGTACAGTGCCGGTCTGAGCTCGTCCAGTTCCGGTCTGAGCTCGTACAGTGCCGGTCTGAGCTCGTACAGTGCCGGTCTGAGCTCGTACAGTGCCGGTCTGAGCTCGTACAGTGCCGGTCTGAGCTCGTACAGTGCCGGTCTGAGCTCGTACAGTGCCGGTCTGAGCTCGTACAGTGCCGGTCTGAGCTCGTACAGTGCCGGTCTGAGCTCGTACATGCCGGTCTGAGCTCGTACAGTGCCGGTCTGAGCTCGTACTCTGCTCTGATTGGTCAGATGGCCCAGTCTGTTGTGATTGGTCTACTCTGCTCTGATTGGTCAGATGGCCCAGTATATTGTGATTGGTCCACTTACCAAACACCCATAAGCATATCTGAATATCAGCTCTGGATGCTCCTCAGTGTTCATTTGCTTTGGCAGCAAAAAAACAGCATCTTCTCCACATTTCGACAACACAAACCAAACTATTTTATGCCTCAGCTATACCTACAGTGTTTGAGGGCAGAGCAAATGAGACATTGTTCACGGCCAGCCAATGAAGATGATACGCGGGCATTAGAGCTGCTACTAATGATAATGACTGTTTGTGAAGCTGTTACTTATACATGACAAATGCTCTCTTTTTGCCAACGCGTTTGATCATACTTGTCAAAGGTTTAATAAACACAAGTGGATCGTTGTTATTGAGATCATGTGAGTGTTTGAATCGAGATTGCTCTATAGCGGACATTATGCAAATTTGTTACAAACCTATGTAGGTTCAAGCATGAAGTGAGACTGGAATTACTGACGACTGGTTTCAGCCAGTTCAGAATCACTTTCCAATTCGTTTTGGGAGACAATAACTTTATTTATCTGCACTTTGATCTATGAAACTTTGCAGACCTTTTACATGCACAAACAGCTCTATTACACACTAAATGAAAAGGAATCTCTGAAAAAGCATAACTGGGGGACTTTAGGATTAAATATCTAAGTATAAAATTGAATCTTAACAATATTTTAACGTATATGCTGTTTCAACAGTTAAATTTTCCCATCCATTTAGGTAAATCACAGATGCTGTCGATAAAGCTAAATTTGAACATCTCTTTTAAAATGATCCACTGAAAAATAGCAGAGGCATTGACCGCCATGTACACAGAATGCTATTTCTCACACATGAGCATTGGACCGGTGTGTTTCCAGCACTACAGTGAGGATCGTGCCGCTCACCTCTGAAGAAGCAGTCTTTGCTGTGGACCACGTAGATCCTCCTGCGCTGCAGGCAAGCGGTGCGGTACAGCTCGCAGTGGTTCTCATAAAAACGTCCATCGGAGCCACACACGGGAACAAACGAAGTGTGGCACCTTTCCTGGCACACACACTCGACCCGGCCCGTCACATTCCTGACCACACACTCCCGACCCCGGCCACAGTACGTCCTCCGGCACGGACCCTCATCTGGAGAGAGAGAACGCTCAAAGTTAAAATCAGCATTGTTTTGTGCACAATTCATCAGCATTTCTTTTCTGACACCTTTTTGTTTCATCCACCTGTCATACAAAGACAATGTCCACCATTCAGTCAATCTTTTTTTTCCCCGAATATCCTGTTTTGATCTTACATTATGAAAGTAAAATAAGTTTATATATGCTCTGCTATGATTGTAGTAAAACAACGACGGAAAAAACATTGTTTGTAAAGCATTTTGGACACACTGCGGTCCACACTATCCCAGAGAATATGTTAAAGTTTCTCCAGCCAAGTCTAAAAACCCACTCCCCGTGGATTCCCCGAGTTGGCGCTGGGAAAGCTGCTGAAGTCTGGTTCACTTTTTCCAGAGCCGCAGGAACGCAGTCGGGGGAAACTCCTGCTGGGGTCACGCGCCCGAATCTCAGCCTGTGCATCATCCATGCCAGCTTTAGTACTTTCTTCGGGCGACAGCTGGTAGGTAGGAAATGATTCCCAATTAATTCTGGACCACTGACTGAGACCGCTGGAGTGGCATCAAACCCGGATCGCCACTGGCCGCTCTGTTCACCGCATGCAGTTTAAGCTGGGCGTATGACGGTGGCAATGCTGGACATTATGCAGCACCAAGCATTAAACTAAACTGTGTCCAGATGAGGACCGCAGCATAACTCAATTATCATGGACGTTACTACATGATTATGTCATATAACAACACTTTTCCAGCAAAAATAACTATACTGTGTTTAGGGTTGGGCATCGAGAACAGGTTACATTTTAGAACCGGTTCCAAATTTCCGAGATCCGTAGATTCGCAGATAAGACACGCAAAACAGAACACAAAACACAATTGAGTTCTCATTCGCTTCTCCTTTCGCTTTAATGGACAAATACACACCACGCACATACACACGGCTTACATGAAGGTAAACAGTTGAGAAAGAAAACGCATGTGTATCAGTATATTGGATCCGTGCATTCGCTGTTAAAGAGACAGCAGCCTAATATTCCTGCTGTTGTCTGTTTTTAATGTTAATCAAACAAAAGACAAAGAGAAAATCACTCTTGACTTAATCATTTTTGTAACTTTGATAAGGATTCATCTATAGTTTATTTATAAAAAGAAAACTATGCAGTGTTATTTTAAAATTGATAAAATTTTAGGTAACACTTTACTTGAAGGGGTGTACATAAGACTGACATGACAACTGTCATTAAGTGTCTTTCGCTCAATAATGACATTTTGAATGCAAATATGACATTGTTTGAGATGTCTTTGTTATGACACCTTGACATAAACCAATACATCATAACCTGTCAGTGTCTTTGTCATGACAACTTGACATTAAATTAAGTTAAACTGTCATGTGGTTGGTTTTGACATTGGCTGTCATGAGGCATTATAACTGTGTCATGAATATTTTTCGTGACCTCAACTACAGTGGTACACATTGAATTTGTCATTAAACAGTTATAATGCCCTCATGACAGCCAATGTCAAAACCAACCACCTGACAGTTTAATGTAATGTTAACCCATAAAGCTAAGTGGTTTCTTAAGTTTGATAATTAATCTGCTATGTCATGTTTATGACAGGTTGTGTTGTCTTAGTAATGTCAAGTTGTCATGACAAAGACACTGACAGGTTATGATGTATTGGTTTATGTCAAGATGTCATAACAAAGACATCTCAAACAATGTCATATTTGCATTAAAAATGTCATAATTGAGCGAATGACACTTAATGACAGTTGTCACAAACATGCATAAAACCTCCTTCATATTCATAACATGTGTCATGTCATGATTATGAAGGTGTCATGTCAGTCTTATGCACACCCCTTCAAGTAAAGTGTTACCACATTTTATTTCAATTTGTTTACCTGAACTTTGTTCATTTGTATTTATGTGTATTTATTTGTGCAATTGCTAGTTTTTTTACTTGTTCTTATTTAATTATTGACTGTTTACTTGTCTTTAATAATGTTTGAAATTTATATTAGATGTTTTTGCTGTGGTATTTTTGTTAAAACCACTGGCAAAAGTTCATTTAGGCTGCTGACTTTTTTTTTTTTTTTTGTAAACGATACCCAACCTTGACTGTCATATACACTGTTTAATACCATGGTCTGTCTGAATACTCGATTGTGATTGTCTGGAAGGTGTGCATTAAAACCGTTTAATGCACAGGTAGTTGCACACACGATTAAAAGCAGGCAGAATGCTAGATCTAAAGAGCGATAACTGATGAAAATAACTGTAATTGTAAACTAAACACTATTGGCTATTTGACAAGGGGGAGGAGCCAATCAATATGTTCCGCCTTCGCTTCCTGTTTCAGTGGAAATTACGTCAACGCATAAATCAAAGCTGCGTGTTCGAAGGCACTTCAGGCCTTTAATACTCTTCGGTTGAGTATGACTAGCAGTAATAGTGATGTTTGCCTGGCTAGATGTAATAAAATCGGATCAACAGGGTAGAATAAATATGTGCAGCCCATCAGGAGCCCAGCCCATGTCGTTTGGCTCACAAATTATTTACTGAACCTTCATAAAGCAACAGCAACACCGTGACCTTCCTCCTCCGTGTCAAGGTTGGAGACGATTACCAGATCATTTGTATTCTCTGAGCATTGAAGATTAGGCGCTTATAGCTGAGCTCTGCTTCTGTGGAAATGATTTGCTCTTCTTCGGACGCCTGCTGTCCGACCATCTCTTGCCTTTCTCAACTCTTTCTCTCCTCCAAGCTGAACGATCTGGTCCAGAACACAAATGCTCCTTTTACAGCGCTATTAGCAATTCTGCAGAGATGTCATCCTCTTTGCAATCGTGGCATGTGCTCTCTGACAATTCCCACCCGCACTCCGCTGTGATTTACTTAAGAAGCTAAAGACTTGATTTGTAATCCATTCAATGTGGGCAGCGAGACAATGGGGAAACATGAGTCTTAAAGGTTCCAGCGAAAGCTCTCGAACTCTGCCAAGCCGCTAATGCGTTTGTTTATCGCGGCCATTCTCGGGACTGTTAAGAAGCTGCTAAACATTGCTTGTCCAACTCAGCAATCACTCCAGGCCTGGACGAACATTTTCAGACGAATCCCCTGTGGAATCACAAAGGCAATGTTTGGAAGAATTGTTAAGATGCCTACGGATCTCGTCCCATTGTCATCAAGTTAATGTGACTAATTGATTCCTTTCAAAGGGAGTCGCGCAGAAAAGAGCAACAGTGGTGTAATCCTTAAAAGCTCACATCGCATGAACAGCGTCCGTTCCGACATTAACTGAGACCACCACTGCGACCTCAGGGCACATTCAGCCAAAAGTTCTGCTAGAAAACAAGTCCACAAGTTTCTCAAACTGTGCATGAATTCACTGTGAGGTGAGGTCACTCTTAACCTCTGGTGCTCTTCGTGTGTCGGTCAAAAATGATCACGTTTTTTTTGTCAATGAAATAAATGTACTATATTTTAGTTTGATAATGTTTTTATTTTATTTAATATTTAGTATTTTTAGGGGATTTTTTATACTAAATTATATTTACGCTGTATATATAATCCATTTATACACTTTTTGACCTGGAAATTAAATTTCCAACTTAAACTGTCGTAAATCTTGAATGCTTTAGAGCAACAGACTGAAGTTTTGAAACTTGGCAGATTAGTGCTGAAGAAAAAAAAAGTTAACTTAAAAAAAAGAAATAGAATTTAGCGTTTATTGTTATGTAAAATGCACAAAAATACAATTTTCAATTTTTATATGAAATATATATTTTCGAAATCACTTTTTACTCTAAAACTGTGAGAAAATCAAAGCCATAAACATATACAAGTTATGTTCCCAATTTGAGGTTGATATCTCCATTTGATATCTCCAAATTGGAGGTTGATATCTCTAATTGATATCTCTATTAATATCTCTATTTGATATCTCCAAATTTGAGGTTGATATCTCATAAAATTAGCTTTCAGTCAGATGTTGTTTGGCTGCAGAAACAAAGTTTCCACTAGATTAAATTCGTCTCCCATTTATTTATAATGCACGAGGAGCACAAGTGCGAATATTTTTTTCAGGACCATTTATTCAAATCATGTACATGATTTTCATTTTGTGTTCACATAGCAAGTGCCAAAACATTTATCAAGTTTAAGTAAAAAATTCGAAAAAAACAAAGCGTAAAATATCGCCAGAGGGCTAAAGATAGAGATTCTCCATTGATGGCTCCATGAGAGTGGAAAAGGGTTATTTAAAGGGATTGTTCACCCAAAAATCGTTCCAAGTCCAAACCTGTATGAGTTTCTTTCTTCTGCTGAACACGAAAGATGATATTTTGAAGATTGTTGGTATCCAAAATCAAACACTTGATGGGCTCAATTGACTATGAAAAAATAAATAAAAAATGGGACCAGCAACTATTTGGACAGCAAAATATCATCTTTTGTTTTCAGCACAAGAATGAAATTCATACAGGTTTGGAACAACATGAGCAAATGATGACAGAATACAAACTATAAAAAAAATGTTGCACTAAGAACTGTTCTTTGGTTAAACAAACCAGTCACATTTCTACAAAAGCCTCGTTTTGGAAGCGATATTTTTAAAGGTGCTCTATGTAACTTTTCTACTAAAATGAATCCTTTCTTTATTGCCTGTGTGTGAAGGGGTTGTAATCACACATTAAAATGACCCACTTGTCGAGTTTTGCTATTACCTCTGAAGGCCAGTATTCCTATTTCTATGTGAAGTCTCCGGGTCGGATTTACCGTGAAATCCAACGGATGTGACGTGCATGCGCGCTCCCGAGCCTCTCTCCTTATATACAGTCTATTGTAGACGGTCAGGGAGTTACGTCCGGTTAAAGGCGCACGTTTTTTGGCTTATATCTCGGTCAATCTTTGATCAATATTCCCAAGACTCTGATCGTTCGTAGTGCTGGACGGGGCCTTTCGAACGAGCCCACCCCCGAGGTCCAACTCGCCCGGCTCCCCGAGTTATA